TTAGAGCCCTCACATGCATTTAGTCAGGATCTCAACAGATGTCACTGACAGGACTATCTTCTTTAGATGGTATAGCAAGCTAAATGATGATCCCTAAAATCTTTGTCTACATCTTATTTCCAGGAACTTGTGAATATTACATTATGTGGCAAAAGATGTGACTAAGATTCTTGAGGGGGTCAGGCATGGTGGCTTAGGCCTGCAATCCTAACACGTTTGGAGGCTGAGTTGGGCAGACTGCTTGCGCCCAGGAGTTTGAGAGCAGCCTGAGCAACATGGCGAGACTCTGTCTATACAAAAAATACAAAGATTAAGCAAGTGTAGTGACAAGTGCTTGTAGTCCCAGCTACTTAGGAGGCTGAGGTGAGAGGATCACTTGACCGAGGAGGCTGAGATTGCAGTGAGCCATGATTGCACTACTGCACTCCAGCCTGGGCAGCAGAGGAGGACCCTGTCTCAAAAAAAAAAAAAAAAAAAAAAAAAAAAAAAAGCGTTCTTGAGTTTATCCTGTATTATCTGGGTGAGCCCTAAATATAATAACGTGTATCCCTGTATGTATTTTGACAAGAAAGAGACAAAGGGAGTTTTGGGAACAAGCACACAGAGGAGACGATATGAAGATGGAGGCAGAGATTGAACCGACACAACCACAAGGCCATGAAACCAAGAAATGCTGATGCTCACCAGAAGCTAGAAAAGGCAAGGAATGGACGATTTCCTACAGCCTCCAGAGGGAGCACAACCCTGACTCCATCTTCATTTCAGACCTCTGGCCTCTGGAACTGTAAGATAGTACATTTTTCTTGTTTTAAACCATCAAGTTGCTGGTAACTTTTTACAGTAGCCACAGAAAATGAATGCAGAATCAGAGAGTGAAACACCAAATCACTAAATGCCTCAGTCCTAACTGCTCCTGTCTTCTATATGCTGAGCATCACCAGTGGCCATGGACATTTGTATAGTGTCCAAAATTCTCTTACATGGTGCACGATAAGTGCATTGCATCATTGATCCTAACCAGTTTCCTAAGTTCTACCCTTTCCTTGTTTTTCAGCTGAAGAAACTGAAACATAGAAAGAACAAGGAATCTGTCCAAAGGCAAAAGTATATATGCAGGAAGCTGGATTCCAACCTATGCAGTCTGTCTTTAGAAAACAAGTTCTAAACTCCTAATATTCTATTGATTGACTTACAGTAAATTATATCAGAAAAGAATACTATTGCCTAATATAAGTAATCAAGAAAACCAGTAAATTACTGTAAAATTGTTATCTCTTTATTTTCATTATGTCTAAAGAAAAAGAATGAATAGATAAAAAGAGGAGACACAAAGAGAAAAGACAGAGTAATTTTAATAGAGTTTAAAGTACTTCTGAGAATGTTATTTCCTTTGAGTCTCTTTTCTTTCAAAAAACCTTTGGCAGGGAAGACTAGATGTGTCATTTTTCTGAAGTTATATCCTTAACAAATTGTGGATTGTGGGTGGATCAGCTGGGTTGTCTCGGCTAATACTTCTACAAGCTTCCATAATCACGTCTTCTCACTTTTATACGTCTACCTTTGTTCCACTCAAATGCCAGTCTTTTCCATGTCACCTATTTTTTTTTTCCTCACAAAAACAAGATAGCTGCAAAGCCCTAGATCCTGAGGATGTTTTCAAAAACCTTTTATTGTGGAAAATCTCGAGTATATACAGAAGTAGAGGAAATGATGTAACAGACCCAACATACCTATCACTCAGTTTCGACAGTTATCAGTAAATTAACACATTGCCAATCTTGTCTCATATCTGCCCACATTTACTACCCTGCTCCATCATTTTGTAGCAAATCTCAAACATTTTATTTCTTCTGTACTTTATTATCTCCAAAAAATAAGAATTCATCTGTATAATCATACCATGTGATGATCACCCTTAGAAAATTAGTTATTTCATAATAAGATCAAACATCCAATCAGCGTTTCCATTATTCGGATTGGAGTATATTAAATATACGCATTAACTCAGGTAAAACTAACATCTTCATGATGCTGAGTCTTGCTATACAAGATAAAGACATATCTTTTCATTTGTTCAAACCCACTTTTCTGTTGTGCTTTTCAGTTCAGTTATTCTTTTTTGTTTCTTTGCTGAGATTTTATATGTTTTCCATTTGTTTCAAGAGAATTTAAGCATATTTATGACAGCTGCTTTAAAATTCTTTTCAGATAATTCTAATATTTGATTCGCTGGCATGTTACCATCAGATAATTGCCTTTTTTCGTTCAAGTTTTGAATTCCTGATTCTTGGTATGATGGGATATATATACACATATACACCTATATATATACACACACACATATATATGTGTACATATATATGATACATACATTTCTATGTGTATATGTGTGTATATACATATACATATATATATATACACACACATATATATACACACATACATATATATGTGTGTATATATATACATTCATATATATATACACACATATATGTGTATTATATATATGTATTTGAGACAGGGTATTACTCTGCTGCCCAGGCTGGGGTGAAGTGGTGTGATCACAGCTTACTGGAAACCTCCATCTTCTGTGCTTAGGCCAACCTCCCACCTCCCACCTCACCTTCCCAAGTACCACAGGCAATGCTACCCTCCCAAGGACTACCCTCTCAAGGACTACAGGCCATGCCACCATGCCCAGCTGATTTTTGTATTTTTCATACACATAGGGTTTCACTATATTGCCCAGACTGGCCTCAAACTCCTGAGCTCAACTAACTCCCTGACTCGGCTTCCCAGAGTGCCAGATAACAGGCGTGACCCACCATGCCTGGCTGATAGGTAATTTTTGATTGCCTGCTGGACTTTTCGACTATTATGTTAGGAGTCTCTGGGTTCTACTTAAAACTTGTATTTTAAGAGAACGTCACTCTATTTTGGTGTAACACACAAATACTGGCTTACTTTTGTAGGCTGTGGTTCCAACAACAGTTTAGTTCTCAAGCCTTCACAGTGTTATTTTGAGCTGTTCGTTTACTTCCTGCCCCCGAGGCTGCCAGTGGTCCTTGCTGGTGCCACTTGAGGAGACAGAAAGAGCTTCCAAAGTCTGGGCTGCATGGTTCTCCCAAGTTGGGGAAAAGAGTCCTCAGCCCACAGGGACAACTAGGTTTCCCATACCAGTCCACTTGCTGCAGTGGGGTTCCCTTTACTAGTGCTGCAGAGTTGCCAGGTGGCTCTCAGTAGGAGAGGGACGTCTCAAGGACAGAGATGAAATCTTCCTGAGCTAAATGCTTCTTGTCACAGGATGCCCCTTGTTGGTCACTCCTAGATTCCTTGTGTCTCTCCTGCTTGGAAGGGAGGGGTACTTTTTGTGGAATAACTTTTTAACTAGTTACTCTATGTCACCTATGATAATTTGCGACGCTGTTTCTAATGAGGTCATTTTGGAAACGTACTTGTTTAAAAAGAAAATTACCTATTTCTCTAGGTCAGGACTCATTAAGTATTTTTTGTCAAGAATATTGATAGTAAAAGTCCATAAGATCTCCGCCACTCAACTCTGCCATTTTGGCAAAAGAAGCCGTATGTAACACATAAAACAATGGGTGCGTTCCAGTAAAGCTACCTGTGAAAATAGGTAGCTGGATAGATTTGGCCGTGGCCTATATAGTTAATCAAATCCTCCTCAAAGTTTTAAAATGTATATGCAAAAAGCAATGCAAAGTAGTGTCTTACAACTGTTTAAACATTTTCTTTTGTTTTATTATTTCCTCCTTATCATTTTGGATTTTGAGTATTTGAGCTTTCTCCCTTTCTTTACTTGATTGAGTTATATAATGGTTTGTCTATTTTGGTAAGTTCTTTCCCAAATCTGGGATTTAATTTTATTTTTAATTCTATTGCTTTTGTTTTTTAATTCATCAATTTTGTTTTTATCTTTATTAATTTATTTCTAGTTCTTTTTTTGGTTTTGTTTTTCTCATTGTAACATTGTACGCTTTAGTAAATTGCTAAGGTAGAGCTCAGGGGAAACAATACTTCCTAAATTACCACATGTTCATAAACATTTATTCAGAGCCTCTATATTGACAAGTTAACAAATTGGTTTGGATACATAGGAAATGTGGCTCTCATTGTCTTTCCTTAAGTATATTAAATATGTTTCTCCATTGATCTCTGAAATAAAGTCTTTCTGATAAAAACTTCAATGACAGTCTTATTTTTTCCCTTATAAATTGCTTTTTGTCTCAATACCCAAATGATTTTTTAAAACTTAATATTTTTACTAGACTGTGCCTCAATGTTTACCTTTCCATGTAGATTTTTTCTAGTATGTGATATACATTTTAATACGTCTCAAATAACCTTTTATTTGAAGACTTTCAAATTGATCACTGTTGGAGCATATTCTATCCCCTTGGTTTGGTTTTCTTACACTCCTATCACATACACGTTATATCTTTTCTACGAATTTTTGTATCACTTTCTTTTCAATACTTTTAAATCTTCTTCCTATTTTTCACATTAATTTTTTCTTCCTGTCTTCCATTTCTATGAAGGCATTGTCAATAATCTTATGAAAGTTTTAGTATCCTTTGTACTTTATTCTTTATTTCTAAAATAACTTTTTCTTTCTTTTATATAACTATCATCATTTTCCCCCAAATTTTACTCTTCTCCAATTACCTCATTCTAATTCTAATATTTGTTTTAATATTCATATTTCATAGCGTTTTTCACTTTCTTAATTTCTTTTGGGTAATTTTGAAATATTAGTATGTTAGTTTCCTATTACTACTATAACAAATTACCATAAACTTAATGCCTTAAAACACCTCATATTTATTACCCTACAGTTCTCGGGATCAGAAGTCCAAAATTGGTCTCGCTGGGCTAAAATTTAGGTGCCAAGAAAGCTGTGTTCTTTCTGGAAACTAGAGTAGAATCTGTTTCCTTGCCTTTTCTAACTTTTTTTTTTTTAAAGAAACAAAAGACTAGTGTATCTTTTAATTGTCATTTTATAGCTTCCCACTGCAGCTGCCCCCCACCCTTCCCTTTGACGACAAGGTTTGCAGGCTTCAGGGGGACCAGGGAACAAAGCTGGGGCCTGGCTGCCCCACTAGCCTGCCAGCCGGGGAGAACAAGTAACAATTACAAATTATCACAACAATTAGCGCCTGTACTGGGGGGATCTGCAAATCGAGGCAGCCCCGACTCCTCATTGTACAGGGGTCCATTTGGCAGTGACCTTGCTCTGGAGACGATGATATTCCTTCAGCCTGAGGGAATTGATGTTGATGAAGCTGGTGGCATCAATTGGCTCATAGTCACCCTGAACGTTCATGCTCACCAGCTCCTCGCTGTAGAGAGACAGTGGGGACTCCCGGCCGAGGATGTACACCTGGCCCTTCAAGACGGACACCTGCACTTTCCCTTCCACTCGCTCCTGGGACTTGGCGATGCAGTGGCAGACGAATTCACACTCAGGGCTGTCAGAAACCGGTATAGGCCAGCTCAGCAAATTTCAAGCCCGGGCCTTGCTTGATTTTGTGCATTTCCCGGTCCATCCGGTCCAGGGTGAAAGCCTGGATGTCTAAATGAGCGTGGTAAATGATGGTGCCTTGCTGGGGTCTCGCAGATACCTCGGGGCTTCATTCCGATGAAGCGGTTTTCCACAATGTCAATTCAGCCCACGCCGTGCTTGCCGGTGACTTCGTTCAGGTACACCAAGAGCTCCAAGGAGGTCTGGTGGGTGGTAACTTCTATAGATTATTCACATTCCTTGTCCAAGGCTCCGTTCATTCACCTTCAAAGCCAGTAATGTTGGGCTGAAGCCCTCCTATACTGCCATCTTTCTAGTTCTCCCTATTCTGTCTCCTCCTTTCACTTAGAAGGATTCTTGTAACTGCATTGGACCCACCTGGATAACGCAGGCTAATCTCCCTGTTTTACAGTCACCTGATTAGCAACCTTAATCCCATCTGCGACCTGATTCTCTTTTGCCAGGCCACCTAACTGTATTCACTGCTCGGAGGATTCGGATGTCAACACCACCAAGGGGTCATTAGTCTGCTTCCTACAGTCGGCTTACTGTTTTCGAATATTTTGTGGCAGGTCAGTTTTGCATGCATTCATTTTCAATGGGAATATTGTTGTCCTTATTCTCTTGTTTTAAATAATAGTAGTATATTGGATACAAACATAATCTCTTTAAGTAAATGAAGTTTTTAAAAGAAAATAACAATGTGATATCCTTTGAAACTAGTCCTCCTCCTTTTCCTTCTAACCTTTATCTGGACTGCCTAGCCCTTTGGTCCTTTTGTCTCTATTCTGCTCAATTTGGATTCTATTTCTAGCAATTTCTCCATAGTGTACTATGTCTTCCAAGGCTTTGTCTTGGAAGACAGGCTTGTTTTGATAGTTTTGAGATTTTATAGGGCCCAGATGCCTCCAGAACCATTAGAATTTATAGGAACATAATCCGCCGTACTGATCTGAGAATTGGATCCTGCAGGGTCCTGTCATGGCTTTTTAGACTGCACTTCTCATGTTAGTTCACCACTCACCTATTCCGAGAAATAACGGAAACCTAGCTGGCTTCCCTCTGCTTCTGCCTACGCAGATACAGACACCAGTATTGTAATTGTTGGTGGTTTGTTGACACTCATGTGTGGTGGTTCACGGAGATGCCTTTTCAGATAGTTTTGTGTATGGGTCTTTGCTTATGCTATAGTCAATGCTTCATTTAATGGGGAGTCGGGAATATTCAGAAAACATGTCATTGCTGTATTCCACAATTTTTCTCTATCTTTAAGGATGTCGCAGAACCAAGTGCAGCAGCCTAAGCTCCTTTTGAGTGATACATGATAGCTCTGTAGAGTATACAGGGTGAGCTGAGGAGAAAACATGTCATTTGTTGCTATGTCATTAACCCGATCTCTTTTCTTTAAGGAAGGTAGAGTGGAAGAATAATCAGAGAGAGAGACAAACAGTTCATTCAGACTGGCCACTTATCTGGTGCAACCATCCCTTTTTCCTACCAAAGGAGTTCTTGGCCCAGCTCATAACTTGGATTTATTTATGATTTTATTTGTTAATTTTCATCTCTTTTCAGATATTCATAAAGTACCTTCTATATTCTGAATTCTGGGAGGCCAAGGCAGGCAGATCACGAGGTCAGGAGTTTGAGACCAGCCTGGCGTATATAGTGAAACCCCATCTCTACTCAAAATACAAAAATTAGCCAGGAGTTGTGGCATGCACCTGTAGTCCCAGCTACTCAGGAGGCTGAGGCAGGATAATCGCTTGAACCCAGGAGGCAGAGGTTGCAGTGAGCCAAGATCACACCACTGCACTCCAGCCTGGGTGACAGAACAAGACTCCATCTCAA